GGGGATTGAACCGTGGTCCCTGTGCTTTGCTAAGCTTGTTCTAAGTAGGTGCTTTAGACCACTGAGCCATCTCTCAGCCCGTGTCCTGCCTGCTTTAGAGGGTAGGTATGGCAGCAGAGATCATGTAGCCAGGTGTGGTGGCATATGCCTATAATCCCAGTACTTGGAAGGCTGAGGCAGGAGGATTGCGGAGAGTTAGAGGCCAGCTTGGGCTACATAATGAATTCAGGGCCAGCCTGAACTGCATAAGGAGACCCTGTCTCAAACACAGAGGATGATGTGGGCAGAGCTCTGGGAAGTATGTATCTGGAAACCCAGCAGGCCAGCCACATTTGGCAGAGAGGGCAGCAGAGGCTTGCTGGGGTAGGTGCCCAGCCCAGGGCTGTAAGTTGGAGGCAGCCCCAGGGGAGACTATTGACTCCTCCTTCCTGGCTTTCTGTGTGTGCTGAGCCCTGCTACAAGACCAAGGGGTAGCCCAAGGATTGAGTTCCTGGGCTCTAGCCCTGGGACCCGGTGCATAACAGTTTGGAGCAGGGAGTGGGTGGGGTCAGGGTCACTTAGGCCCCGAAGGATGTCCACGTCCATCGCAATCGATGCTGGGGTGCATGTGCATGGGGAGGAGCCTGGGGGAGGTTTGGGGACATCCATCTCCCCAGGCCTATCTCTAGTGGTGTCACCAGCAGCTCAGCCTTCCTGGGTGCTGATCTGGGTTTATCAAGGGGCTGTGGGGGTCTTTGGCTCCTGTGTTTCAGCCCCAGAAGCTTTGGTTTTTGGGATGACCCAGCAAGCTGTCTCTGGCGCCTCCTTGCCAGGTCTTAGGCACCTGGCGGGAGAGTGAGGTGGACCAGTGCCCCACACCTTGTCCTTCCCCATCGTGGTCACAGGACCCGGGAAGGGCCCTGCCTCACACCAGCCTGTTCCTTCTGCCTGCCGAGCCATCGATTCCCTGAGCTGCCTATTCCCAGCTTGAAAAATTGAAATAGATTTTCTGTGGTGCCCCTGAGGGCACAGCTGGGCTTCTAGCCCCGTGTCCCTGTGTGGCCAGAGGGAGGCTCAGGGCCAGGCCACCTGTTGCCTGGTGTGAATCCCGAGCCCAGGCTCCTCCTCTCCTGTTCATCCAGCGCAGCACAGCAGTCTGCAGGGTGGGGTGTCTTTCCTCTCTGAGCGGCTGATTGCCCTGTGACAGCTCCACACAACCTGCTGGCCACCCCCGGGTGCCTGGAAGTCCAGGGTGGCTGTGGGTGGTGCCCACAGGTGGTGCCTGGACAGCCTGTGCCTGGGGGGCTAGATGGCCTTCCAGAGCCCGGGCATGGACCGCAGGTGGGCGTTTGCTGGACTTGGGGCTGGGGAAGCAGGGGCTGTCCCTGTTGGGGCTGGGGAAGCAGGGGCTGTCCCTGTTGGGGCTGGGGAAGGAGGGGCTGTCCCTGAGGTGACAGCATTGCCGCTGCTCCTGGCAGAGGCACAGCACTGTGGCCAGGGCAGGCAGGCCTGGGGCAGCTCAGTCTCTGGCTTTCCTGAGGACTCCCCTCTCAGGCTCCTGTCACGCCATCTGGCAAGGCTGATGGTGGGAGCAACCTGCTCCTTACTGGGCCTGGGAGGGTTCAGGGAAGGGACAGTGGCAGTGGTCCCCGTTGGTCATCCAGACCCTTGCTGTGCAGGGCCCGGAGTGAGGAAGAAGATCAAAGGCTCCAAAGATGGGAAGAAGAAGGGGAAGGGGAAGAAGGTGGCTGGGCTCAAGTTCCGCTTTGGAGGGATCAACAAGAGGAAGAAGGGCTCCTCGGTGAGAGGGTGTGCCCGCGTGCGTGCATGCGTGCGTGTGCAGACAGCCATGGGAAGCCCACTCTCTGAGCCCGCCGGGGCAGGGCCTTCCTGTTCTGCCTGTAGCCCACTGGGCCTCTTCTCTCAGGGGCCAGGCTAGGTGTAGACAATCATCCTTAGCCTGGACTCTGGGGTCTCCATCCAGACCACAGCTGCAGCTCCATGTGGCAGAACACAGGAGTCTGTGGGCAGTGCAGATCCTCAGGGCCGGGCCATCTGGCAGGACTGGGCGTGGCACCCTGGAGGTGGTGTGTGGGTCTGGACTGGCTGAGTCTGCGCACTCGCCACGCCCTGCCCGCAGAGCCTAACCTGCATCTCAGCCTCTGGGCCCCCCACTGTTGAGTGGGGCTTTCTCTTGCTGCAGCCCCATAGGACAGCCTTTGTCAGGGCAGAGAAGGAAGCTGAAGCTCTTCCTCTGTCTCTCGGCAGAGGCAAGTGCCAGGCCTGGATTTAGGCTGCTCTGGGGGGAGCACAGAGAAGGGCAGGTGGCCATGCCTGTCCCCGCCTGGCAGCCCAGTTCAGCTTCTGTGCAGGGCCTAGTGCTGATCTGTGCTGGGCCCTGCTCTGGAGGCATGGCCATGGGAGGGAGCCATGGTGTCCTGTCCTGTGGGAGCAGTCAGGGAGAGCTTTGGGGGTCTCCTTGGTGGGGGGATCCTGAGCTGTCCTTCCTAAATGCTGGGCAGGAGTTCGGCATGAGGCAGTACCGGGCCTGAGAGCAGACCGGTCTGGAGTCCTGGAAGCGTCTGGCGAGCAAGGCTTGGGGGCATCAGGCCGCCCTGGGCTGTGGCAGGGAGTTTCAGCTGGGTTGGGGGACAAGGCACACCCTGGATGCACTGTCGTCAGTGCCGCCTCTCCGTCTGCCCCACCGCACACCACCCAGGCCACACAGAGAGCCCTGGCTCATGGCGCCTCCCTTCCCTGCAGAGTGAGGAGGACGAGCGGGAGGAGTCAGATGTGGACAGCGCCAGCATCCACAGCTCTTCTGTGCGCTCTGAGTGCTCTGCAGCCCTGGGCAAGAAGAGCAAGAGGAGGCGCAAGAAGAAGAGGAGTAGGGCTTGCTGCCGGAGGACTCTTGGGTCTTGGGGGGGGGGGTCCAGAGCCTCCCTGGGGAAGCGGGGGGGACACCCTGTGCCTTGGCTGCTCGGGGCTTGGCAGGCAGTGGCTCTGTGCTTCGTGGAGGGCCTGCATCTGTACTGTCAGGGAGAGGTATTCTGTCCCTGTGAGGGAGAAATAAGGAGTTTAGGATTTGAGCCACTCTGATGGGGATAAAGGAGGAGGCACTTAAGTTCACCCATCACTCCCCACCCCCTCCCTGGCCTACGACATCCATCTATCCTTCATCCCCCACTGCCATCCTTTCTCTCCTGCCTCCCATCCCTCATTTTCCTCCCTGTTTTTTATTCTAACCATGCACTGTCTACATGTATTTGTTCTTTCTCTACTTACAGGTGGGTAGGTGGTTGGATAGGCAGGTGTATGGATGGGTGACGGATGGATGGATGAATGGATAGATGGATACTCTCCCACCTTTCCCTCCTTTTATCCATCTTCTGTCCATCTTTCACTCTTTTTACAACCTTAGCCATCCTCCAACATTTATTCAACTCATTGGTCCATCCACCCACTTGCCCACCCACCCATCCAGCCATCTACTCACCTGTCCATCTACCCACACACTCATTCACTCACCTACCTATTCATCTATCCACTTACCTATCATCCATCCATCCATCCATCCATCCATCCATCCATCCATCCATCCATCCTTCCAGTTACCTATCCATCCATCGATTCATCCATTCATTCATCCATACACCTGTCCACCCATCCATTCATCTACTTATCCAACCACCTAATCACCTGTCCACCCACCCCTGCATCTAACCATCCATTCCCCTTATCCATCCATCCATCCATCCATCCATCCATCCATCCATCCATCCCTCCACCTGCCTGTATCCATCTGTATATCCATCCTTCCATCCGATTATGCATCCACCCACCCACCCAGCTATCTATCTGTCCACTACTCATCCATTTATCCATCTACTCATCCATCCACACCCTTCTGCCCACCCACTTACCCATTCACCCAGGCACTTATCCATCTACCACCCGACCACTCACCTACTCATCCCTCCCTCCACACATCTACCCACCCATTCGTTTACCTGCCTACACATCACCTATGTACCCATCTTTTCCTCCACTCACCCATCTGTGTAAGCATACATGCTCCATCCATCCACCCACCCACCCACCCATCCATCCATCCATCTGCCCACCCACTCCCCTACTTACCTTTGCATCCACCTCCCAGCACCCCATCCATCATCCACCTACCCACTCCCCTCTCTACCCTTCCATCTACCCATCCACTCTCTCGTTTAGCCACCCTCCCATCTGGCTAGCGTCTGTAAGCCCCTACTGTGTGTCTGGCCTGGGTGGTGAAGATAGTTGTGCACTGCCAGCGGGGACGAGGCCCCCCATCTCAGCCTTTCCCACTCCAGTTGACGATGGCGATGGCTACGAGACTGACCATCAGGATTACTGTGAGGTGTGCCAGCAGGGCGGGGAGATCATCCTGTGCGACACCTGCCCGCGGGCCTACCATCTGGTGTGCCTGGACCCGGAGCTGGAGAAGGCGCCCGAGGGCAAGTGGAGCTGCCCACACTGCGTACGTCTGGGCGGGTGGCTGGGGGGGCGCTGGGGGTGGCGCGGGGAGGAGCCGGGCAGGAGCGGCCAGGGTGCCTCCACCTTGGCTCCCCTCAGGAGAAGGAGGGCATCCAGTGGGAGCCGAAGGACGAGGATGACGAGGAAGAGGAGGGCGGCTGTGAGGAGGAGGAGGACGACCACATGGAGTTCTGCCGCGTGTGCAAGGACGGCGGCGAGCTGCTGTGCTGCGACGCCTGCCCCTCCTCCTACCACCTGCACTGCCTCAACCCGCCGCTGCCCGAGATCCCAAACGGTGAATGGCTCTGCCCGCGCTGTACTGTGAGTGTTACGCCGCCCCGCCCCGCCCCGCCCACCAGACCACGCCCACCGAGGACGGCCCTGCCCCACGGCCCAGCCTGGGCCTGAGCGCCCCGCCCCTGCTGGCCTGGCCACACCCCCTCCTGGGCGCACAGCCCCGTCCCCACGTCCTGGCCCCGCTCTCTTAGTCGGCTTAGGACCAACATCCCAGCCACTGATTACTGAGCGTGTGCTCTGCACCTGTGGCTTTGTGTACCTTGAATTCCTTCAACCTTACCGAGGTGCAAGTACCGAGCTTTTGTTATTTCTATTTTCAGACGAAAACCTTGAGGCTCACGGAGATAAAGGGACTTGTGTAGGGCCACACAGTGACAGCACTGTTCTTTCCATCCCGGATCTTTAGCACCATGCATGCATGCACTGTCTCCCGACCCAAGCTGGGTTCTGGAGAGGGTAGGAGGTTCCAGGCACTGGAGCCTCGGTTGGTGCAGGCCTGGGACACACACCCTGGATGTCCCCGTTCCCTGCTGCTGGTCACCGTAGGCATGTGCAGCGCTCATAGTCCAACAGTTCCCTGCCCACCCACATAGGGCTTGTGCTGCCATGGGCTTGTGTGTATATGTGTTCGTGCCTGTGCACACGTGTGCACGCGTCTGTGTCTGCGTATGGGTCCGGGGGGCCTTTGGATGGGGGTGCCTCTTTAGCTTTCCTGGAAGGCTTCCTAGGAGTGGGAGAGACAGGGGCTTCGTGCTTCCCACCCCATCTGTCCCCTAGAGCCAGCACAGGGAACGCTGAGCCAAAGCCAGGTCTGCCTGGGGCTGTGGGGTGAATCCCCAGCCCTAGACTGCCTGCATATGTGATTGGATGGTTGCCCAGCAGATGTGGGAGCAGAGGCTGGCTTGTGCCAAGGAGCAGAGCTGGTGGGGCAGAGCTAGGACCCGCTGTCCCTCCTCTGTCCAGCCTGAGCCCATGCTGCCTCCTGTGCCAGGTGGTGCTTCTGTGGCAGCCAGCTGTGCCCCGGAGTCCCAGAGTCCCTGGGACCCCGAATGTGTGGTGGGCTGATGGAAACCTGGCCTCCCTGCCCCAGCCAGTGCACACGTGTGGTGCCTGGGTGCAGCCCTGCCCAGGGGTGGGGTTGCAGCCCCGTGCTCAGGGCGCTCTAAGCAGGACGTGGGAGTCCAGAGCCTTGGCTCTGCTTCCTGCTCTGCGGTTCCTCACGGGGAGGGCCTTGCTCTTCCTGTCAGCCCTGCATCAGTGGCAGCCTCACCCCAGCTCAGGTTGGCCGTGTGTTTAGGACGCTCAGTGCCCAGTGCCAAGGTCCCCATACTGCTGTGTCCTGTAGGCTCCCGAGGGTGAAAGGAGATGTGTGGTCCCTGCAGAACTGCCTTGGGGATTGTGTGTGGGCAGGATGGAGCCAGGCACCTAAGCCCTGAACTTGGGGCCCCTCTTCTGTCTACAGTGTCCCCCACTGAAGGGCAAAGTCCAGCGGATTCTGCACTGGAGATGGACGGAGCCTCCTGCACCCTTCATGGTCGGGCTGCCGGGGCCCGATGTGGAGCCGGGCATGCCTCCACCCAAGCCCTTGGAGGGCATCCCGGAGAGGGAGTTCTTTGTCAAGTGGGCTGGGCTCTCCTACTGGCACTGCTCGTGGGTGAAGGAGCTGCAGGTGAGGCGCCCTGGGCGTGCAGCTGTGCCCATCCCCATTGCCGGCCAGGGCACAGCCTGCCTTCCTGACTCCATGTGCCCTCTGCGAGCAGCTGGAGCTATACCACACCGTGATGTACCGCAATTACCAAAGAAAGAATGACATGGATGAGCCCCCGCCCTTCGACTACGGCTCTGGGGATGAGGATGGCAAGAGCGAGAAGAGGAGGAACAAGGACCCGCTCTACGCCAAGATGGAGGAGCGCTTCTACCGCTACGGCATCAAGCCCGAGTGGATGATGATCCACCGCATCCTGAACCACAGGTGCGCCCCGCACTGTGGTGGCCCCAGCCTTGGTGACCGGGCACCCGTGTGCAGGTGTCTTGGAGCAGGAGGAGAGGCCAAGGGCAGATCTGCTGTGTGGGTGGAAGGCCAGGGCCACAGAGACAAGCCATGACCTGGAGCCTTGCATGGGACAGGACCCTTGCAGGGTGGAGCCCCGTCTTCCAGCGCCTACTGAGTTACTGCTTGGTGCCTGAGGGAAGCCCTGAGGCCCAGTGCAGGCCCTCATGTGGGCATGGGCATCTCCCGGGGTTTATAACAGTGGCTGCCGCTCCTGAGTGCCAGCCACTCTGAGGGGTAGAGGCCACAGTCAGCGCAGCAAAGTTGAGCCCCTTGGCCAGAGCCACACTGTTCAGCAGGGCACCTGGGATTTGAACCCAGCACCCTCTGAGGGTAGGCCTGGACTGCTCTTCAAAGCCTCAGTCCCTGGGTGACTGCACCATCAGAGGCTGCAGAAAGCAAGATGGGGAGAACCGCAAGAGAAGCCGGCTGATTCTCGAGCTCCTGAGGACAGGTTGTGGCGGCCTCTGGAGGGGCTTGGGGTGGTGCCCAGCGTGCCTGCTGCGCCTTGGAGGGGCTTAGGGCTGGCGGCTCCTGCTGTGAGTGTCCCTGGCTGCAAGGTCCTGCCAGGCGCCCTCCAGGGCTGCAGAGGCTGAGTCAGGCCACTTGCTCTGGGTCCCGGTCTCTGGGCCTCTGTGGCGCCCACCTGTGGGTGGGCAGCTGTGGGCTTGCCACGGTGCGCCTGCAGGGCCAGCAGAGCTGAGGGACTTGGACGAGCCACGCCATCCCCTGCCTGTCCTCTCTGAGGGCAGCCCCGTCCTGGGGGCCAGCATCCGGGTGCCTGAGCCCTGCATCCCATCACCCACGGTTTTTACCTTATTTGACTTGCTTATTCAAAATGTATATGGAGGGGCTGGCGAGATGGCTCAGTGGTCTAAAGCACCTACTTAGAACAAGCTAAGCAAAGCACAGGGACCACAGTTCAATCCCCCAGCACCACATGCCAGCCATTGCCGCCCCCTGGTGGGCTGAGCTGGCCACACACACACACACACACACACACACACACACACGCACACACATAAATAAAGTTAAAAAAAAAAAGAAAATGAGTTTCCAAATCTTTAAAAAAAAATGTACATGGTGGCTTTTTGGTGCCTTCAAAGTGGGAAGCGTTCCTCTGTGCCTGCACAGCAACACATTATCATTGGGAAAAAAAAAAAAAATCCACTGGTTTCCTGGTGACTGGAGATTGGTCTTGCTATTAATGGTCCCCAGGCCAGCTGCAGCCCTGAACCATGTTTGTGTGGGTTGCCAACTGCCCCTGAGGGGAGCCACGGCTCTCCCGCCCTGCCACACTTCCTGGCCTGGCATCCTGACCCACTTATGGATGTGTGGGAGGCCCTAAGATGCCCTCCGACACCCCATAGTGGCCAGAACCAGCTGTGTGCTGTTGGGCTTGGTCTTGGGGTCCCCATGACCCTGGGTATGTGCTGCAGGAATTGCTTCCTTGCTGCCTCTGTAGAAATGGGCCTCTCGTCGGGGGTGGGCACTGCCTTAGTCCTTTGGATTTTTTAAGTTAGAAAACAAAGCCAGGCATGGTGGTGAGAGTCCAAGACAGGAAGATTGTGGTGAGTTTTAGGCTTACCTGGCATATGTAGAGGGGACCTTGTCTCATATTTAAAGAGAGAGAGAGAGAGAGAGAGAGAGAGAGAGAGAGAGAGAGAGAGAACAAAGCAAAGAGAAGACAAAGTCCCTGGTGTGTTGCAGCTTTGACAAGAAGGGGGATGTGCACTACCTGATCAAGTGGAAAGACCTTCCCTACGACCAGTGCACCTGGGAGATCGATGACATCGACATCCCCTACTACGACAACCTGAAGCAGGCCTACTGGGGCCACAGGTGGGCTGTGCAGCCGGCTGCTGGGCGCTGGCCAGGGCCCAGCCCCAGCCCCAGCTTGGCTCAGGGTGTGCTGCGCTCTTCTTCAGGGAGCTGATGCTGGGGGAGGACGCCCGGCTGCCCAAGCGGCTCATCAAGAAGGGCAAGAAGCTGAAGGAGGACAAGCAAGAGAAGCCGCCAGACACGCCCATCGTGGATGTGAGTGGGGGCCCAGGCGCGGGGCCTGTCCTCAGCCCTCCAGTCACAGCCGCGCAGGACGGGACCCCGGGAAGGCTGCAGCAGGACTGACAGCTGACCTGCTGATCACCCCATTCCTGCACGCAAGGGGCACCAGGGACTCCATGGGCAGCACGGGCTGGGGTTCAGGACTCCGAGCCTCTGCCTCCCACAGCCCACGGTCAAGTTCGACAAGCAGCCGTGGTACATTGATGCCACGGGTGGCACCCTGCACCCGTACCAGCTGGAGGGCCTCAACTGGCTGCGCTTCTCGTGGGCCCAGGGCACCGACACCATCCTGGCTGACGAGATGGGCCTGGGAAAGACGGTGCAGACCATCGTGTTCCTCTACTCGCTGTACAAGGAGGTGGGTGGCTGGCTGGCCGGCTGGCAGGCGGGTGGGCAGTGGGGCAGGGGCAGGGGGGCGCCGGCCCTGGGGGGAGGCTCACCACCACTGTGTCTCTGTAGGGCCACTCCAAGGGGCCCTACCTGGTCAGCGCACCCCTGTCCACCATCATCAACTGGGAGCGTGAGTTTGAGATGTGGGCACCTGACTTCTACGTGGTCACCTACACGGGGGACAAGGAGAGCCGCTCTGTGATCCGCGAGAACGAGTTCTCCTTTGAGGACAGCGCCATCCGGAGTGGGAAGAAGGTGTTCCGCATGAAGGTAAAATGCTCACCCCCAGGAGGCTCTGGTCTGCCTGCCATGGGCCCCAGGATCCTGCAGTCTGCAGGGCTCTCCTGCCCGGAGGAGTCCCTTGTTAGTTGCCCAGGCTGGGCTCTGGCTTGGGATCCTCCCGCCTCAGCTTCCTGGATGCCTGGATGACAGGTGTGCGTGCCACACCTCCCGCCTTTTCCTTCCTGCCAGTTCCTGTCTTGATCCCCCCACCAGCACTCAGGTTCAGGCGGAGTGTGATCGTGGGTGGCGCGGGCAGGTGTCCAGGGGTGGGAGGCTGAGGACCTGCCCAGGGACACAGACCTCCAGCGGGGATCATGTCACCATTCCACCGGACTTGACTTTTTCTTTTTGAGGTTATGAGCAGAATATATTTATTGAGAGAAAGAAAGCTCCTGTCCAAGAGAGGGACAGGAGGGGGGCCCGAGCGGGTAGTTCCCCTCCACTGGACTTTTCATGCAAATGACTGGTTCAACACCCAAAGGCTTTAGAGTTTCAAGTCAGTTAGTGTAAGAAAAAGCACTTAGATCCCAGAGAGCCCTGTGACCGGAGGCCTGTGGGCTTTAAAGGGGAGGAGAGCAGCTCGCGCGGCTCCTGAGGGCGGGCGAGGGGAGGGAGCAAGCCCTGTTTGGGTGCCAGTAGAAGTCACTACAGAGCAGCACTCAAGCACTGGGGGTGGGGGTGGGCGAGGCGGGGGTCAGTTCCAAGACCCCTTAGTGCCAAAATCCCCCCATTCGGGCGCTTTCTAGGAATGGGATAGGATGTGGGTAGCCTGTGCATGTCCTTCCACGGGCTTTGTCATCTGTGACCTATGATGATGCCCTTGATGGGTATCATTCTCTCCATACTTACTGATGACAGCCAAAAGGCCTGTATGTTTTTACTATGGGTGCAATTTTTCCCCCCAAATATT